TTTTTTTATTACACTATTGCTTTAGCATTAACCACAATTTAAAATAATACTTTCTTATTATTGAAACTACCTAATTTAATATTTTTTTTTTAAACTAAATGCAGTTATTTTTAATATTTTATGCCACAATTAGAGTTTAATTTAATTTTTATTTTGGTGTACTTATGCTATTTAAATTTGCTGTAATGCTGAATTTTGCATAATTTGATTAGATTAACCACAATTGTGAAATAAGCAATACTGCAGCATTATCTGAAGCGACTGAACCTATTCCTTCTGCACTAGATTCTCCAAGTAATTTAAGCTTATTAGTTCTTTAAATATACTAAAAATTATAATTATAATTCAACATAAAATAATTAATGGTATTTTATATTACTATTAGGTACAAGTAACATATCACCACAGAAAGATTTATCAAAACCGATAAATTCCAAATATGATATTGGTCTTTATGTAAATTATGTTGATTCATTACCAAATGAAGAAAAGGTTTCAATTTTAAATAATGTATGGACACCTGATCCTAATTTCATTTTTCCAACTCAAAGTCATGCTAAATTTAAAAGACAATTTCAAATCAAATGGCTTAATACATTTAATTGGTTAGCATATTCTAAATGTAAAGAAGGAGCCTTTTGTAAATACTGTGTTCTTTTTCTCAACCAAAATCAAGTTGGGAAAGGTTCTCATGAATCTTTAGGTGGATTAGTTACTAAACCTTATACAAATCTAAAAAAAGCTTTGGAAACATTTAGATGTCACGCTAGTTATAGTTATCACCGCACTGCTGTATTGAATGCCGATAATATTATTGCAATTCTAAACAATAAACAAGATAATGTTTTGGTTCAGTTAAATAATCAACTTAAAGAGGATATTTTACAAAATCGTAATATGCTCAAGCCTATCATTCAGACTATACGATTGTGCGGTAGACAACAATTTGGTTTAAGAGGGCATCAAGATTCTGGTCGTATATCAATGAAAGAACCAATTCAAAATGACGGAAATTTTCGTTGTCTTTTGAGACATCGTGCACAACATGGTGATAGTACGCTAAAAAAATATTTGGAAAATTGTAGTTCTAATGCCATGTATACAAGTCCACTTATCCAAAATGAAATTATCAACATTTTTGGCGAACTTATTCAATCAGACATAATTAAAAAAATTTCAAAATCAAATTATTTTTCTGTACTTGCCGACGAAACGACAGATATTGCACAAATAGAACAATTTTCAATTTGTATTCGGTATTTTGAAGAAGAGTTGGTGGTTCTTCGAGAAGATTTTCTTACTTTTGTACCAGTTCATGATGTAACTGGTCTTGGTTTGGCAACCGTTTTACTAAATGCATTGAAAGAACTTGGTTTGGACTTGGATAAACTACGCGGACAAGGTTACGATGGGGCTGCTACTATGTCAGGTAACTTTCGTGGTGTTCAGGCAATTGTGAAAAAGAGCTACCCAAAAGCTTTATACACTCACTGTGTTTCTCATTCCCTGAATCTTTGCTTATCTGATGCTGCCAAAACACAAGCTATTCGTAATTCATTTAGTATTATTTCTGATTGTTGTGGTTTTTTCCATTCCTCAGCAAAGAGAACGACAATTTTAAAAAATAAAATTATAGAGATCCTACCTAACACTCAGTCGTTCAAATTAAAGTCGTTATGCGAAACTCGGTGGGTTTTACGCCACGAGGCTGTAATGCTGTTTAAGGAATTTTTAGAACCTATTGTCGCCGCGCTTGAACAAATAGATTGTGATTCTTCAAACAGAACAACTAGCTTATTAAATACCATCTGTAATTTTAAATTTTTAGTTTCTGTCTGCGTATCATCTAAATTGTTAAGTTATACTTATCATTTATCAGAATACTTGCAAACTAAAAATATTGATTTAGTAAATGCCCTTGATAGAGTGAAACAGGTAACAATCCAACTTCAAATATTAAGAGATAATGCAACTGATGAATTTAATAAGATTTATGAAGAAGTCAACCGATAAGGAGGTTTAATAAATGTGGAAGAAAGTATGCCACGAATATGTATTACTCAAAGAAACCGCCAAAATGTTCCTTTTCAAAGTACTAAAGAATTTTATAGGAGAACAGTTTTTATACCTCACTTAGATGATATACTTTTATCATTGAATGAACGTTTTTTATCACATCATGAAATAATAAATTCTCTGCAATACGTTTTACCAAATATGATTGTAGATAAACCATATTCAAATCTTAAAACAGCAATTACATTTTACCAGAATGATTTAAAAGGTTATGAAGACATTATAGAAGCTGAATATCAATTATGGCAGTCGAAATGGAACTTAGTTGAATCTCGGCCATCGACGGCAATCGAAGCACTTCATCAATGTGATCAACTAATGTACCCAAATATGTATGAACTTCTTAAGATACTATCAATACTTCCTGTTTCAACAGCAACTGCAGAGAGAAGTTTTTCAACATTAAGGAGATTGAAAAATTATCTTCGAAACACAACATCTGAATCACGGCTTGTGGGACTAGCTCTATTATCAATTCATAGAGATGTAGATATTACTGATGATATGGTACTAGATAAGTTTTCGAACAGTGGAAAATCTAGACGACTAAAATTAACAATATGAATAAAACAATAATTTATTTTCTTAAAATTTTAAATATAGTTTTTTTTAATCACTTATTTTGCAGTTATTATTTTTTTTTTTTGTAACTGATTAGCCCCCCCCAAAAAAAAATCCTAGATACGCCACTGTGTTGTTCATCCATATTTGTATGTTCTAGACTAGACCAATTGTATACAACGATGACACGAAACTGCGTTCAATGTGCGGTCATAGAGTCGACGCAGTTAAATCTGTCCTGCCTAACTTAACCTACCCTGCGTTGCGCTGCGTAGCACAGTTTTTGTGATCTACTGGTTTGAACAGACGAGCGTAAATTAAGTTGCAGGGTAGGGCAGCGCAGTACTGCTCCTACGTCAGTCTGCGTCGCACAGTGTTTATGACACAGTTTCCTGTGAATGTTTTTCAACTTCGACTTTGAAAAATTTGAATTCAAATTTTTTTATTAAGCTATATACTATGGAAGAAAAACTGATTGAAGCAGTTCGACAACACAGTGTCTTATTTGACACTAGCCATCCTGACTACACGAAGGCAAAATTGAAAAACAATATATGGGAAAATATTGCTAATGAATTGAAATTTAAAAATGGTAAGAATAATTTATTAGATTAAATATTTATTTTATTGTCATAGATTAGGTATAATAATATATATTTAGTTTAATAAGGCATAATCTCATATATAATTTCTATAAAATTCATCATAATTATATTATAAAATATATTGTATGATAATAATACACTGTTATATATTACAATAATATTATATCGTATACTTATAACATTCACTAGCCACTTCAATTATTTATATAATTAAATTTATGACTATTTTTACATATTTTCTTATCGTAAATTTAATTTTATTACACCAACTATAAATATTATTATAACGATTCAAGAAAATATTTAAATAGATGGATAGACGAATTAAATATAACACAAATAAACATTTTTCACTAAATTTATATTTATTTTACATGTTATGTACAAAATTAGTTAGTATTTACTTCTAAAAACACTATCTTTTTGCCAAGGTACGCTTCCTATTGTATTGAAATAATCCGTAAACTTTTTTCTCACCAAAAAAGCACTTGATCCACTTCTACTGTTGTTGTTACTTAAGGGGCTGTCACACGAGGCGACTACTCGCTAGGTTAGGTTAGTTTAGGTCAATTGTCCTTCGAAAAATACGGAATCTGGATGATAGGATTCCAAATGCATTTTCAGAAACGCGCCGAGCTCTAGACAAGCGATAATTAAAAATTTTTTCTTCCAATGACAAATGTCTGTGACTAAAAGGCTTCAATATGTTTGTTCGAAGTGGGAAAGCATCATCTCCTACACAAAGACCACCCACCAGCCAATTGAGCAAATTTTTTTCAAGTGCAATATTCAAAGTAGAAACTTTGAATATTGTACTATCTGAAGCTCTTCCATCACTTCCTACATCGATGTATCTGAAGCAGTAATCGGCATCTACCATTGCAAACAAAACGATACTGTAGAATCCCTTGTAATTGTAAAATGTGGATGTACTGTTTGGAGGGCGAATGATGGCAATATGCTTTCCATCAAGAGCCCCACAGCAATTGGGAAAGTTCCACTTTGTTTCAAATGATTTCTGGATAGATCGCCACTCTTCTATAGTATCAGGAACCTAAACACATTTGTGAAACTACTTATAAAAATGTTTCTTGTAATTATTGTATAATTAATTTGTAATTAACCAACTAACAGTTAGTGGAGTATTGCTAACAGTAGCTAAAATAAAAAAGTTCAAACTGCACACAAAAAATACACTGAAAGGTGAATCATGAGGGAGAGATACTATACTAACACACTACAACTATATTAAGATCATAATATTGTAAAACATTGTATACCTTGATATCAATTAAAATGTTTTATTAACAGGACATTTCATTGATCAACCAAGATTTGGAAAAGTGCAATGATTCAGATGAAGATGAAAACGTTTTTGTAATATCTGAAAAACCAGTTGAACAAGTCACGAATTTGCCACTTGCCTCTTCATATACCGATAGTATGGCCTCATTACCTCCTCCGAAAAAGAAGAAGAAATGTAACAAGTCCTCGAACTTGGAGCAGTCGGTTAACAAACTTCATGAAATTGCATTAATGACAAATGAAACCGATGATGAATACGATCGTTTTGGAATGCATATTTCAGCTCAACTTAAACAGCTACCATTAAGAAGTTTTATAACACTTCAAGAAAAAATTCTAAGTTTAATTACACAAGAAAGACTGAAAATTATTGATTCTCAAAATAACCAAACTGAATACCCATTCTCCATTCCAACCTCATCTGGCAGATCATCAAACCTTAGTCAAACATCTTTCTCTTCTTCATCTCATTCATCCCCCATAATTCATACCGGAGAATACCAAGAACTCCCTCAGTGCAATACATTTCAGTCAACTATACAATCAGAAAACACAATGCTGGACCCGATCCAACAAGCAATTTTAAACATATGTTCTAATAATTAAATTATATATAAATTCTATAAGAAAAATAATTTTTTTTTTTTTTCTATAAAAGGTTTTAATACACGAGTACGTGGCAGTCATTTAATAATATGTATATTGTATAAATACATACAATAAAAAGTGTGTTGATTTTTTAAGTTTGAAAATATACGATATAATTTTTTTTGTTTTCTATAAAAGATTTATATGCACAAATACGTTGCAGTTATTTAATAATATGTATATTGTATAAATACATACAATAAAAAGTGTGTTGTTTTTTTACGTTTGAAAATATACGATTTGTAAAAGTATTTATTTATCACGTTTTTCTTTGTTACGTTTTTAATTTTTATGCATTAGGTATAGCGAAGACTAATAAATTAAAAACTATTATAAATTAATTAAATTATTTAACTTACCTTGATGAATGTTGACAAAGTATTGTAAATTGCTATCAATACTTCAGGTAAAAACGTAGATATTGTATTGTGAGGAACTCTGAATAAATACTCCAAAGTCATCAGGCTGTCACCACTCGCTAAGTAACGTAGTGTTATTTCAAGTTTTGTGTTACTTGGAATTGCATTTCTCATTGGGGTATTTATTTTGGTAATTGCTGGGCTAACCATCTGAAGAAGTTCATCAAACTTCGTCTGTGATATGCGCATAATATTTCTGTAAGCAGAATGATCCTCTTCAGCCAATTCCTTCAAAAGTAAGGCAGAGGCCCCAAATTGTTCTCTTTTAAGAATCCAATCACGAACCGACTTCCTCTTTCGCGTATTTTGTATATCAACAATTAATTGTTCTGCACACGTAAGGCGAATTATTCGTTTTAAAATGTTACGACGTGATGCGATTGACGAAATTTTTGCGACTGACTACTCGCTACTCGCTATCTTGTATAACTTCGTGTGTGACAACCTACTAGCGGCGACTTGATGTGGCGAGAAGTCGCTGCTACTAGTCGTGGCGAATAAAATCGCCACATGTGACAGCCCCTTTAATGGCAGTAATTGATTGTCTGGCATTATATCACTTTCGCCTTGCACATTATTTGAAATTGTTATTTCGTTTCTTAAATAATTATGTAATACACAAGCTGCCTTAATTACATTATCCACACTTTCAATTTTAATTTCGAATGGTTTTCTAAAAACTCGAAATGGTGCAGCTAATATGCCAAAAGTGCATTCGACAGTTTGTCGCGCTCGCGAAAGTCTATAGTTGAAAATTTTATTTTCAAAATTTCCCGTTATGTTTCTTTTTGAATAAGGTCGCATGATAGTATCACATCGCGGAAATGCTTCATCTGCTACAAACACGAATGGTAATGTTTGATTGTAATCGGGTAACAATGCAGGTTGTGGAAGTTGTAAAGTTTGTTTATTCATTTTTCTTGCCAAAGCACCGCTCGAAAAAATATTCGAATCACTATGTCTTCCCATAGATCCAATATCAACACTTATGAATGTAGTGAGCGTCAACAAGAGCCATTAAAACCACAGAAAAGGTATGTTTATAATTAGGGCTGGGATTTCGATGCACTTAGCATTGTTTTTCAAAGCTTACTGTGCAATGCTCGTCTTGTCACAAATTTGTTTTATGTACATNTACGTTGCAGTTATTTAATAATATGTATATTGTATAAATACATACAATAAAAAGTGTGTTGTTTTTTTACGTTTGAAAATATACGATTTGTAAAAGTATTTATTTATCACGTTTTTCTTTGTTACGTTTTTAATTTTTATGCATTAGGTATAGCGAAGACTAATAAATTAAAAACTATTATAAATTAATTAAATTATTTAACTTACCTTGATGAATGTTGACAAAGTATTGTAAATTGCTATCAATACTTCAGGTAAAAACGTAGATATTGTATTGTGAGGAACTCTGAATAAATACTCCAAAGTCATCAGGCTGTCACCACTCGCTAAGTAACGTAGTGTTATTTCAAGTTTTGTGTTACTTGGAATTGCATTTCTCATTGGGGTATTTATTTTGGTAATTGCTGGGCTAACCATCTGAAGAAGTTCATCAAACTTCGTCTGTGATATGCGCATAATATTTCTGTAAGCAGAATGATCCTCTTCAGCCAATTCCTTCAAAAGTAAGGCAGAGGCCCCAAATTGTTCTCTTTTAAGAATCCAATCACGAACCGACTTCCTCTTTCGCGTATTTTGTATATCAACAATTAATTGTTCTGCACACGTAAGGCGAATTATTCGTTTTAAAATGTTACGACGTGATGCGATTGACGAAATTTTTGCGACTGACTACTCGCTACTCGCTATCTTGTATAACTTCGTGTGTGACAACCTACTAGCGGCGACTTGATGTGGCGAGAAGTCGCTGCTACTAGTCGTGGCGAATAAAATCGCCACATGTGACAGCCCCTTTAATGGCAGTAATTGATTGTCTGGCATTATATCACTTTCGCCTTGCACATTATTTGAAATTGTTATTTCGTTTCTTAAATAATTATGTAATACACAAGCTGCCTTAATTACATTATCCACACTTTCAATTTTAATTTCGAATGGTTTTCTAAAAACTCGAAATGGTGCAGCTAATATGCCAAAAGTGCATTCGACAGTTTGTCGCGCTCGCGAAAGTCTATAGTTGAAAATTTTATTTTCAAAATTTCCCGTTATGTTTCTTTTTGAATAAGGTCGCATGATAGTATCACATCGCGGAAATGCTTCATCTGCTACAAACACGAATGGTAATGTTTGATTGTAATCGGGTAACAATGCAGGTTGTGGAAGTTGTAAAGTTTGTTTATTCATTTTTCTTGCCAAAGCACCGCTCGAAAAAATATTCGAATCACTATGTCTTCCCATAGATCCAATATCAACACTTATGAATGTAGTGAGCGTCAACAAGAGCCATTAAAACCACAGAAAAGGTATGTTTATAATTAGGGCTGGGATTTCGATGCACTTAGCATTGTTTTTCAAAGCTTACTGTGCAATGCTCGTCTTGTCACAAATTTGTTTTATGTACATTTGAATAAGAATAAGAAAGTTTATTTTGCATTTTTTGGCATTTTTTGGCATTTTTTAGTTTTTAGGTCATTTTCTTAATTTTTTAGGGCATTTTAGAGTTTTTGGAAACCAAGTGCATGAATTTGAAATTTTATTTTAAGATTTTTACACCAACATGGTTTTTAAATAAATATAACAGATTATAAGTAGGTACTCGTAATTCGTATTATATTATCGGTTTGTCGCCATTATCGGAGTATTATCGAGTAACCTCTACCCGCATTTCCTGTTAAATAATCTTAAATCGGTAAAATCGACGTCCGATAATATCGTTCGACGTTCAGTACGAGTTTTGTCGTGGTTAACACCGTTTTATTACTCAGGTTAATTTTTTTTGGTAATTTAATATAAAAATGCCAAAAGTAAAATGTTCGACAGCGAGTCGACTGCGTGCGTTTGTACAAGAATTTGGACATAATATTTTTTCTACCGACGGATTGGTGTTATTCTGTAAAATATGCAACGTCAAAGTTACTGCTGAAAAACGATTTGCCGTACAACAAAATTTGTCAAGAGATAAACACATCAATGGAGTAGAACGGAGTAAATTACAAAACGAAAAAAATAATACAAAAAGTTTTATTACAGACGTACCAAACAGGTCGGAATATTTTTTAGATTTAACTCGTACATTTTTGTCATGTAATATTCCGTTAAATAAACTCGAAAATCCTGCGTTTTCTAAATTTTTGGAAAAATATACCAATAAACAAACGCCTGATCGCTCCACATTACGAAAAAATTACGTCAGTATATTATGTTACGATGAAACTATACAGATGATTAGGTCATACGTAGAAAATAAAAAATTATGGGTTTCTATCGATGAAACGACGGACGCCAATGGTCGTTATGTTGCCAATGTTATAATAG